ATTGTTTGTCTTACTCGTAGCTAATAGTGCCCTTTATGAGAAGAGGGAATTTCTCTGTAGTTTACCTATGAAATTACCTTTATTATATCGATGTTTATTCCTCGTAACTGTTACTCTAGCGAAATAACAGCAATATGATTACGGTTTCAATACATCATAGAATGATTCTAAAAATATTAAAGTTTTTAAATGTGACATCTCGGTCCAAAGTTTATGTTTTACTGGAAATTTTTATCGGTCATTGTTGTTTTTTCTCATATGAAGTATATATTTACCTCTGCTGTGTTTACGTAAAACTTATGTTTACAAAAATACCGAAATCCAAGGTAAATCCAAAAGGGGGATTTCCATAAAACCTGACAATACAATTGCGACTGAAAACGAGGAATGTGTCAAAGAGACAACAACCCGACCAAAGAGCAAAAAACAGCCAAAAGCCACCAATGGGTCTTTAACACAGCGAGAAAATACATGTACCAAATGCTCAACTATATCACCAAATGTACGACTGGAAAACAACAACCGACATATTCTTGACTTGGTACATGCATTCTCCGAAGAAACAAAAATGGTAGAATATACCTGGTTTTACAGCTAGCTAAACTTGTAATGCACATTTTGAAACTGGTTGTATATTCCAAATGTCTAAGCCTATAGGCGAAACAAGCTTGAAAATTATTTCTGAAAGTATGGCAATATGAATATCAAGCACATTTTATACCATGTCTATTGAGAACAACATTTATTTTTTTTTTATATTGGAATTTTACACCACATGTTGAATGTTAAAAGTTGAATATCAATATTTAACCCATTTCTCTGACGTCAGTCTATTGTTCTGACTGTAGATTATTTTTCAAGAATCCACTGACCATAGTATTAACTTAAGAGAACTTATATTATAACTTTAACCTTTTAACTTACGATCTTTTATCCTCTCAAAAACGAGTGGCATGTGTAGGATTCGAACCCGCGCGTATTTTCTTCGTAATCAATACAGTCTTCAGTCTATGCATGATACCACTAGACCACGATGGCTGACATCAATCATTATATAAATAGTACTCTTAAAGCGCTTACTTGTCAAAACATGTCATTTAACTGTATTTCTGTCTCATTGTAATCTAATGAAATATATATATCTTGGTTTGTTCATGTTTATTGAATTTGTTTTATTTTGGGTGTTATTTTTTTTTTAAGAAATGGGTTAAAACTACTTCTTTGACAATAAAAACAGAAACAAAATCATCGCCATCATATGAAAATGAAATATATGATTTTTTGAATGCACGTCGTTTCGTAACCTGGTCGTTTCGTACCTGATCGATTCGTAACTACGTTGTTTTGTAACTGAGACGTTTCGTACCTTTTGTAATTATATATGGTTATAAAGTGTTAGTTTAAATTAATTAGTTTAAATGAAAAAGTTAAAGTTATTATTTAAAAATGATCCAATTGTTCATCTAATAATAACAATATTGTAATATTTTTAATTTAAAATTTTCTGAAATCTTTTTAATTATTGGCTAATTGGTTAATTTGTAATTACGCTCGGTGACAGCTTTAATGGTTTTATGACAACTAATGACAGGTAATAAAAAGTAATTACAGTAGGTGTAAAGTGATTAAGTAGATTAATGGCACACGACCGGCGTTGGCGGAGTTAAGAGTTAGTGGGCCGGAGCAGCAGCAGCAGTTGGTCCGTAAACAAAGGCACACCTCCTTAATAATGTACTACTGGACATCTGGTTTTGAGTGTATTTATCCCAGAATGAGAAAATTTCTGATATATGTTTAATAACTACACAAAAAAAGCAATCAGTAGTGAAATATTTTGAATAAATTTAATTTGAATTAAATTGATAAATTATTAGGCGTGGTTAAATTAAGTAAATGTAAGTGACAAGTGTTCACTTAATGGTATAATAGCAGTTTTTTTTACTGGCTCCTTTTTCATTCATCTATAAACGCCAAATATGTCACTAACAGTAAATAAGCCCAAAGTCCTTGTGATCGGTCACAGTTTCATCCGAAGACTGGAAAATTGGATGTTAAGAACGCAATCCGACTTATCAAGTTCTGTGAAAGAAACAACTTATGATAGAAAAAAAAAGAAGATAAATAAAGAACTAATTAGCAACATAAAGATGAGTGGTGTCAAGTATTGGAGACATCAAAGCACGTGGCAGAAGACTAAATACTTTGATAAAGACGGGGTACATCTAAATGATGATGGACAATTCAAATTCTTCTGTTTTATTCGCATGTGTGCAAAACTGTACTTGTAAAGTGTAAATTTATGTGCAATCAATTATTTAATAAATAAATATAGATATATATATATACACATACATCACTAAGTCTTTTTATTACTTTTTACCTAACCTACTAATCTTATTGTTATTATATATTGATAAAAGGTTACAAAACGTCTCAGGTACGAAACGACCTAGTTAAGTTACGAATCGACTAGTTACGAAACGACCAGGTTACGAAACGACCTGCACCCTTTTTGAAATGTTCTAGGATTAAAACAATATTTTGGTCCAGAAAAAAAAATTACAATGAAAAAAATTCATTCCGGGTACAAGGTTCGAACTTTGCACTGTTAATATCACCGTTATGACATTCGTTATAAACGACTAGACGATCACGGCTATGAACAGCTTGATGGTAAGTTTATGAAATCAACATAATTTTTCATTGTACATCCGTAGCAAGAGCAATTCTGATGTGGATTCAGAATGCGTACCACAGATAAAACTATTTTACTGACCGGTGAACGATATATGCCAAATGTAATAACGCTAAAATAATCTTAACTTAAATGAAACGGAAACAGTTTAAACAAAATTTAAATATAATTGTTCAATTTTAATCGTAAGCACATAATTTTAATACTTTAAACAGCAATATGAATTATGAAATGTCAGATTTATGGCATATACGCTTATAATATTTAATTGACTAAGAACGACATAATGGTGTTACGATTTCATTATACCAAATCACGTTGCTAAATATTATATATATAAATTTTGAAGATTCTAAATTTTGGTAATTAAAATTTTTTAACTTTTCAAAACAAGATAAATAAATTCTGTATATCAATATATGTCTTTTCGAATAAATTAAATATACCAAAATCTATTTAATTTAAATAATTTGTAATGATTAAAGATTAAATGAAATATGTATATACAAAAATAAAATCTGGTATTAAAAAGGGGAGCTAACACCCCATTTAAGTTATATTAAACTTATGTTAACTTGTCAAATGTCTAAATATAGATGCGAACCGTGTGGATATATTCATTTCCAGCTATTATAGAATAAAAAAGACAAAATACCAAACTTTTTTTATGAAATATTGTTGATTCATTGTCAAAACGTAAAACAGACAGTCGTTTTACTAGAAATGGGTTAAGCTAGAGAATTGATAAGAAGTAGTGGATTCGGAAACGATAATCAACTTGCGACTAAAGTCGCTCGTTGATTATCGTTTACGAATCCACTACTTCTTATCAATTCTCTACTACTTAACCCATTTCTCTGACGTCAGTCTATTGTTCTAACTGTAGATTATTTTTCAAGAATCCACTGACCACAGTATTAACTTAAGTGAACTTATACTATAACTTTAAACTTTTAACTTACGATCTTTTATCCTCTCAAAAACGAGTGGCATGTGTAGGATTCGAACCCGCGCGTATTTTCTTCATAACCAATAGAGTCTTCAGTCCATGCATAATACCACTAGACCACGATGGCTGACATCAATCAATTTCTGAATAGTACTCTTAAAGCGCCTAATTGTCAATATTTGTCATTTAACTGTATTTCTGTCTAATTGATTATTCGCTTTTGTAATCTAATGAAATATATATATCTTGGTTTGTTCATGTTTATTGAATTTGTTTTATTTTGGGTGTTATATTCTTTTAAAGAAATGGGTTAAAACTACTTCTTTGACAGTAAAAACAGAAACAAAATCATCGTCATTATATGAAAATGAAATATATAATACTTCTACATGTTCTAGGATTAAAACAATATTTTGGTCAGAAAAAAAATTACAATGAAAAATTTCATTCCGGGTACAAGGTTCGAACTTTGCACTGTTAATATCACCGTTATGACCTTCGTTACCAACGACTAGACGATCACGGCTATGATTAGCTTGATGGTAAGTTTGTGAAATCAACATAATTATTCATTGTATATCCGTAGCAAGAGCAATTCTGATGGTGATTCAGAATGCATACCACAGATAAAACTAGTTTATTGACCGGTGAACGATATATGCCAAATGCAATAACGTTAAAATAATCTTAACTTAATGAAACGGAAACAGTTTAAACAAAATTTAAATATAATTGTTCAATTTAAATCGTAAGCACATAATTTTAATATTTTAGGAAAGCAACATGAATTTGAGCTTTATGAAAATGCAGAATTATGACATCTACGCCAATAATGTCTATTTGACTATGAACGTTTTAACGGTGTCTAGTTTGTAATACACCAAATGATGTTGCTAAATATTATATATATAAATGTTAAAGGTTCTAAATTTTGGTAATTAAAATTTTTTAACTTTTCAAAACAAGATAAATAAATTCTGTATATTTTCTGTATATGTCTTTTTGAATAAATTAGATATACCAAAATCTATTCAATTTAAATAATTTGTAATGATTACATATTAAATGAAATATGTATATACAAAAATAAAATCTGGTGTTAAAAAGGGGAGCTAACACCCAATTTAAGTTATATTAAACTTATGTTAACTTGTCAAATGTCTATATATAGATGCGAACCTTGTGGATATAATCATTTCCAGCTATAATAGAATAAAAAAGACAAAATACGAAACTATTTTTATGAAATATCGTTGATTCATTGTCAACACGTAAAACAGACAGTCGTTTTACTAGAAATGGGTTAAGCTAGAGAATTGATAAGAAGTAGTGGATTCGGAAACGATAATCAACTTGCGACTAAAGTCGCTCGTTGATTATCGTTTACGAATCCACTACTTCTTATCAATTCTCTACTACTGAATATTGAAACTAAAACAAAGTGTTAAATGTAAAGAAGTTTTTTTATATATGAATGTTTAATATTAACCAATATGACAACAGAATGGCCTATAATCTGTTTAATTTACGTGTGCAACATATTTCCCATAGGATTGTACAAAATGAATACAGTTTGATCTTTCTTCTAGTAATACGTTATTTGTATCTTTTGTTATCTGTTGATGAATGTCCATTATCTTTTTCAAAAAGGTACAGAAAAATCAAAAGCGATAGATGCACATGGTAACTATGATATAAACATTTATTCAAATCATATTTTGTTTTTCGTCAAATACTTCCGGCTGATTAGACGAATCATTATCCAAACGTTCAGTTGTTGTAAGCTGAAGAAGTTCAACTGGGTTGATATAATTTACTTCTATGGCAGGTCCGTAGTCCGACTCTGACGTCAGCCGAGTTTTAATTCTCTGAAAAATATGATACGTTGATTGATAGGTAGTAAGAAACTGGTACATATGTTGTAAGTGGTATTATTTGATAGATTTGTATTTTCTTATTAGTGTTTTAGAGTAAGTCTTTTTAAGATGTGCACTTATTTTGATAGTGGACTAATGTTGGCTTCCATGTTTTTTTTTCAAATTTTCATCTATAAGTAAAAAGTCTGATATCTTTGTTTACTCTACCGTTTAACACTTTATTCATTCATAAATCATTATGCACGTTGTAATTTTGAAGGGACAATCTATTATACTAACTTGCAAAATTGTTCCTTCAGCGGACCATAAGTCTTTGATGATATATAAAGGTATAGGTATAACTGAGGCAAAGCCAATTATCCAGCCTGCACCGACTGCCCACGATGGATACTTATAGGTGCCATATGAAACTGGCGTGAATTGTATCATATTAAATACTATCATCAACTAAAATAAAAGCACTGTAGAATCAAAATGTATATGTATTTTAAAAGGATAACTTAATATATAGCTAACAAAATGGCAAATTATTTTTTCTCAATATCAGGAATATTGGAAACATTTGATAACTTTGCATAACATGTATATTTTCTATGTTATGTTTTTTATACGGTTGTTTGTCTATTCGTTTCTTTCTCTTTTTTTTTGGCATGGCATTGTCAGTTTAATTTCGACTTATGAGTTTGAATGGCGCTTTGGTATCTTTCGCCTCTCTTTTAGAATACGATAAAAATTGTACACAAATTAAACGCTCGTGATAGCACTAGATTGACTGAGAAAATGGCTGTCTGTTTCCTTACTTCAATTCTTGGATTATCTTGGCTTATATTAAGCAAACCAAACCTATCTGCAATTTACATATGCTAAGTTGTGGCCAGCAGCTGAGGATAGCTAGAATATATTGCTTTTGTTTGTCGTTCTGTTGGAACTCACTTAAACAACTTTCAATTGAAAGCATTCCACATGACTATTAACATTCACTAATGGATTGTACACATTCATACAGGATAAGACCCTAAACCTATTATAATCTTTATTACATAAAAAAAATATTATTTCATTTTAAACTTATGACGATAATTGAGACAGAGACTGTTCCTTGTAACATTCTTAAGAATTTTAAAACTTACCACAACTGATGTTGGTGTTATAAATTTCCAAAATATACCCCATAAGCAAGAAGGCCTTTTACCTGTCATCATTTCCAGATCATCATAGAATTGTTCAGTACCTAACAAAAAGACATATAGCTACAGTAACACTTGTAACACATATGTAAACGTTTTGAGCGTCGAATAAATCGACTTTCCTAGAGTCTTCAGAGATACCTTTGCAACAATTTATCCCGATAGATCAGTATCCTCTTGGGTAATATTAAGGGTGTACTTAGGTGAGGTTTTGGAATTTGTGTTAAATGTTCGGACTCCTCGGTTTTTTCCATACAATATAAGATAAAATATTTTGCCCCATAACACCTTTTTATCTTTTAACATAAGAATTAATAGCTCATAAAAGGTCATTTGACAAAATTTTAGCAGATTCTTGATTTTCTTTCTTCTGATTTGAGACCCAAATAATACCAATGCAAATATAAGGTAAAAGTCAGAGTCAGCCTTTTCCCGCCATATTTCATAAATCAAATATCTCGAAAAGGAGCTCCATGACCTATCAATATTTTTAGCTTATTTTGATCCTTAACTAATACTGTTCCATCTTAAAGTATCAATTTTGAATTCTTGATTTATTTAATTTTACCTTAGATCACCTAAGTACATCCTTAAAGGAAGAATCAATTAGACTCATTAGTTTAAATCAACTCTAGTGAAAAGTTATTCATCTCAAATGTATAAAACTTTGATACAATCTTTTCTTTCAGACCCAGTCAGTGTGTGTATGTGCTTTTTCTTGTGACAATCATTACAATGGACTCAATCTATTTAGAAGTCAATCATCTGTGATCTAAACACAAGATAAAGTTTGATCGGGTATTTTACTTCTCAAAAAAGGAAACAAGTAAACTTATATCATGACGTTTGTCTTAATGTTTCCTATTCAAACACCGATTTCAACATTTGGAATCAAATTTGTAATATAAATGTATAAGATGACAAGTTTAACCCTTTCCTTTTCACACCGGTACAGCTTAACGGTGAAGCAAATTTTAAGATATATTTTGGGCATTTAGTCTTGTTCCATCGTCATTTGCTGACGTAAAGATATGGTTAAGGGCTCAAATTAATCTTCAGAATACCAGCAATATGATTGAATGTGCATCAAACTTCTATCATTATCAGTTTATAGTCAATTCGCCTCTTACTGATATGTATTTATTCTGTTAAAACCTTTTTTTTCTTCGAATTTTAAAGAATATTTTCAAAAAGAAGTGCATAGAAAACTGTCCTTTTTGGGGGAATTATGACTTTTTTCAATAACTGTGCAGTGAGTTTTTGAAGAATGGTATTAAAATAATAGTTCTAACTTGTACACTAGTTAAAAATGTAATTTTCAGTGTACAAGCGCAATCACAAACTTGAAATACGCTAAAAATCCGTAGTCATTTCTTAAAAAAATTATTGTAAAAGAGACAAAAACCACTGAAATGTCCTGAATTTTTTTAGCAAATTTCAAATAGATGTTTCGTAAGTGTTTGGGTATGATAAAGTTGAAAACACTTTTGTTTAAATGAAGGAAAATGTATATGTCAATGGAAACAAGACAGACTAAGAACTGGATTCCTGCTATATTTGCGCAAAAACCATGCATTTGACCATTTGGCATCAAAAATATTTTATCTGAACACATAATTTCTAAAAGAAAACAAGCTGGGTGAGGATCTTCATATGTTTTTTTTTTCACGTCTTGAGAAGTAGACTTTAGTACTTAAATTTCAATATATTACTAACGATGACAGTGGTGCGGGGTTATGCTGAACAAACCCAAGGCGGAAAGATTGCGTGTTCGATTCTCACTGCCGGAGGTGGAAAAATTATTTCCTATATAAAATGTAACTTAACTTAACTTTACTTTCAATTTCAAAAAGAAAAACCAACGAAATACTTATGTTTGTTTTTAAAAGAATGCGTGTGCCAAATTGCCCCCCCCCCCTTTTTTTCCCCCATTTACTTCCTCGGGTTCGGTCCAGGGTGCGCCACATCAAGTTATCATTAGTAATTCAATGAATTTTCCCTTAGAAAAACAAAATTTAGGTTACTGCTTGACTGAAATCGTATTTCCTCTTTTAATACCAATATGATAACTTGTATGTCTTTAACAGACTTGGGGCATTGTGTTTCCACCAAAACCTTACCCTATTAGCGCAACAATATGTCTCTACACGACTTTTGTCCCAAGGATTTCGTATTTTTCCACATTTTCTCTAAAAGTCACGTGACTTTTCGAAACATCCAACGTGACCAAAAAAGGACGAATTATCTTTAAACGTAGTTTTCTGAAATATTTGATTAATTATCTTTCATATGAGCCCAACATGGCATGTGCATGAACATTGGTGCGAATGCAGTATTCAATTGAACTTTGATAGTGTCTCTTCGATAAGTAAAGGTCTAAAAAGCCTAAAAGGGAAAGGGTTAATAAAAGTCAACAATTTCATTTTTCAGAACAGAATACCGATGATTACGTTAAGTTAACTTTTAATTAATCATAAATAAATGTTAAATGTCAATAGTGCGATAGATTTGGTTCCTTAAATCATAACAACGTATCTGATTGTTTTACTTCAGCCTTATCGAGAAAACAAATTATGAAAAGGGTAGATTAAAAAAACATAGCTATACCACAATATTAAATGCACTATGAGTTATAACATTGTTATTTAACTAGCTTCTAAAACACGCATATGAAGTCTCTTGAGAAGAGTGTTTGATACTGTTAAAATTATGTTCTGGGTGATAAAACAGGAAACACCTTTTAATATTACTGCATTTATGTCAAGACAAAACCTTACCAAATTTACAGGAAAACCTTTTAACCTGACGGAAACTTGGCATTGTAAAAATTTATTTTATATATACAGAATGTAACGTTAGCTGTCATAAAAAAGAATTCTCAAATGTATCATAAAAATGAGAATGGAAATGGGGAATGTGTCAAAGAGACAACAACCTGACCATAGAGCAGACAACAGCCGAACCCCACCAATGGGTCTTCAATGCAGCGAGAAACTCCCGCACCCGGAGGCGTCCTTCAGCTGGCCCCTAAACAAATATGTATACTAGCAGCCTGTTACTCAGGTGTAATGTTAAATAATACTACCATATATCCATCCAATCAGAATACATTCCATTATTGCAGCTATCATTGGAGTAATTAATCCAACGTACCAGTCTACGGTTTGTAAAATATAAATTCCTCCCTAGAATATAAAAATACACAAAGCTTCTGTACCATAAAAAAAGTTTCTTGATATTGTATCCTGCGATTAAGCAGTACTGTACATTTCAAAAGCCGATATTTTCTTATATTCAAATTCAGTACAAATCAATATCAAAAGATTGAATTATGCTTTCATATAAATATGCACCTGTTCTGTTTGGTTACTTTTCCATAAAGCTAACCGAACAGTTTCCAACATTTTTTAAAAATTAAATACAACACGACGGGTGTCACATGTGGAGTTTGATCTGTTTACCCTTCCGGAGCAGCGAGATCATCCCCGGTTTTGGTTTGGGTTCGTGTTGCTCAATCCTTAGTTTTCTATGGTGTGTATACTGATGTTTGTTTTCTTTTTTATTTTTTTTTTATTTGACATGGCGTTGTCAGTTTATTTTTCTCACATGGACATTTTACGGAAAGTAAAAAGATCTTTTCAGATATTGAAAAAATGACTTATTTGTTGTTGTTTTTTTTCACTGTACCTACTTACATTCATTACATACGGTATGCCTGAGAGGAATCCAACACAACATATAGCACTCATGAAAAGTGTTTTCCTGTTTCGTAATAACTTCGGATATTCGTCTACTAATGCACTGTGCATGGTTTCAATTGTTCCAAACTGTAATACATTGACAAGATAATTTTACCACATTTTCACTGAATTTTCGAATATGTAAAATCCTAATATGCAAGACTTTGAAAATAAAATTCTAGCATACAATATAAACATCAAATGTACTTTATGAAAATAAAGTAAAACATTAAATTAAAATCAATCCAGATTTAAAGCAAACTATTGAACATAATGAAAAACTTAATTAACGGTACTATATGCAAAATGTAAACAGGGGTTTGCAATTAAAATGAGTCAATAAATTTTAAAAATGAACTAATAACGGTATTATACAGAAAATATAATACTACAAAACAGAAGGCATGATAAGGCCACTTTTTTGGCACCTTGAATTCAAAATCAAAAAGTAAGATAAATCTTAGAATCCTGCAGATGCTCATTAGACATTGGTCTGTCTGATGTCTGTATTTATATGTTTGAAATTTGAAGATGTCTTAAATGTGTGTGAAATACTTTTCAGGGTAAAGCTTTCGCTCATATATATTTTGACTAATTGCTATACGTGAAATTGCCATTTTTCATCAAATCCGATAAATTCGAGATTTTATGACGTCACAAGTGAACTTTCTAAACTTCGTTTTCCAGTTAATTTTGAAAGGCTTAAATAATTTTACTTCATAGCAATTTCAGGGGCCACATAATGTTTCTTATCATACATCCTCTTTTAAACTTAAGATACTAATACTTCAAAAGAATCTTGCATATACAACCTTTGTGTGCCTAAACAGACCTGCATTGATTTATACTTATGTTGTTACAGAAAATCATTTGAACAAATCATAGAGCAACTTCACATCACAAAATGTTCTTTGTATTTTTTTACATTCGTAATTGATTTATTGTCCATAAATTCCACGGCTTATGCCTCTTAATTTGTTTTGGCTATATATTTCTTAAAAAAAAGTCTGAATGGAGAAAGTTTTTCGTTCGTTGTCTCTGAATAGAATACTATTTAGAGGTTGATAAAATAAATATACATCTGTCTATGGCTACAGGTATCAAACATAACAATCTTTTTCGTTTATTTTTTTAAACTACCAATTAAGAATTGTCTCTGACATGTTGAATCATAAAATACAGAATATATAACATTCACTTACAATGCAAAAGTAAACTCAAAATGGAAATGCCTAACAACGTATCTTTATATAAATAAATATTGTATATGTCTGCAGCCGGTTGTACGAACGTTTCATTAATCTAATGAATGAGTCATTAAGTCTTCATTAGCCTAATGCACCATAAAGGCTTAATGAAGACTTAATGACCCTTTAGGCTAATGCAACGTTCGTACAACCGGCTGCAGATCATTTATACTATCATAGCAAATATTTCAAGAAATGAACATCACTGGACTAACCTGAGTATCAATGCCTAAAGTAAGCATCATGAGAAAGAAAAGGACCGCCCACAACGGTGACACAGGAAAAGTTGATATTGCTTCTGGATATGCCACAAAAGCCAGACCAGGACCTTTAAAATACATGTAAGCAGTTAATAAAGCTTACCTATAATTAATTTAGATTTGAAAAAAACACTGCTTGAAGCCATATGTAGTTATCTTTGCAGTTAGCAATTTTTCATCATAGACTGTTCATCGTGACGGTTTTAGCTCTGTGTTATGTTAAATACATTACTGTAAACTCATCATAGATACCAGGATTAACATTTTGTACGACAGACGCGCGTTTCGTCTACAAAAGACTCATCAGTGACGCTCGAATCAATAAAGTTAAAAAGGCCAAATGAAGTGCATAGTTGAAGAGCACTGAGGACCCAAAAATTCTATTTAGGGTATAGAAAATCCTTAGTAATTCGGAAAATTCTAATTTTTATTAACAGTTAATTTATGATTATGACCATATCAATGATAATTTATTTCAACACAGAAGTGCTGACTACTTGGCTGGTCATACAATCCGTATATCTTCACTTCATCTTAGTGTTTTGCCAAAGTTTTCCGAATGATAAAAAGTATATTAGACTAGGAGTTTGTACATATTTCAATTACATTACAATAGAAATTTAGGAAAACAATAAAATCACAAAAATACTGAACTCCGAGGAAAATTCAAAAAGGAAAGTCCCCAATCAAATAGCAAAATCAAAACTAGAGGCTCTAAAGAGCCTGTGTCGCTCACCTTGATCTATGTGCATATTAAACAAAGGACACAGATGGATTCATGACAAAATTGTATTTTGGTGATGGTGATGTGTTTGTAGATCTAACTTTACTAAACATTCTTGCTGCTTACAATTATCTCTATCTATAATGAACTTGGCCCAGTAGTTACAGTGGAAAATAATTTGTAAAAATTTACAAAAATTTACAAAATTTATGAAAATTGTAAAAAAATTACTATAAAGGGCAATAACTCCTTAAGGGGTCAATTGACAATTTCAGTCATGTTGACTTATTTGTAGATCTTATATGCTGTAAATTATTGCTGTTTACAGTTTATCGCTATCTATAATAATATTCAAGATAATAACCAAAGGTTGCAAAATTTTCTTAAAATTACAAATTCAGGGGCAGCAACCCAACAACGTGTTGCCTGATTGGTCTGAAAATTTCAGGGCAGATAGATCTTGACCTAATGAACAATTTTATCCTGGTCAGGTTTGCTCTAAATGCTTTGGTTTCAGAGATATGAGCCAAAAACTGCATTTTACCCTATGTACTATTTTAGCCATGTCGGCCATCTTGGTTCGCAGGCGGGGTCATCAGACACATTTTTTAAACTAGATACCCTAATGATGATTGTGGACAAGTTTGGTTAAATTTGTCTGAGTAGTTTCAGAGGAGAAGATTTTTGTAAAAGATTACAAAAATTTACAAAAAATGGTTAAAAATTGACTATAAAGGGCAATTACTCCTTAAGGGGTCAACTGACCATTTTGGTCATGTTGACTTATTTGTAGATCTTACTTTGTTGAACATTATTGCTGTTTACAGTTTATCTCTATCTATAATAATATTCAAGATAATAACCAAAAACGGCAAAATTTCTTTAAAATTACCAATTCAGGGGCAGCAACCCAACAACGGGTTGTCCGATTCATCTGAAAATTTCAGGGCAGATAGATCTTGACCCGATAAACAATTTTAAGCCTGTCAAATTTGCTCTAAATGCTTTGGTTTCAGAGATATAAGCCAAAATCTACATTTTACCCCTATATTCTATTTTTAGCCATGGCGGCCATCTTGTTTGGTTGGCCGGGTAACCGGACACATTTTTTAAACTAGATAGCCCAATGATGATTGTGGCCAAGTTTGGTTAAATTTGGCCAAGTAGTTTCAGAGGAGAAGATTTTTGTAAAAGTTAACGGACGACGGACGACGACGGACGACGGACGACGACGGACGACGGACGACGGACGACGACGGACGACGGACGCCAAGTGATGAGATAAGCTCACTTGGCCCTTTGGGCCAGGTGAGCTAAAAACAAACACATCAAACGAATGGATAACAACAGTCATATTCCTTACTTGGTACAGGCATTTTCTTATGTAGAAAATGGTGGATTGAACCTGGTTTTATAGCTAGCACACTATGCAAAAAATAACTCCTTATTTTAAGAGTGCACATTTTGAGGAAAGAAAGTAAGAAGTGGTAGTCACTGAAATTATTATTTTTCTTCAACATTTTGTAGAATACAAGAGAAATAAACCTATGCTCGTTTCTAGGGAAATTTTTTTTTCAAATCTAAAGATACTTTTTTTCTGGTTAGACTTTAATTATAGGTTGACTTACCTAAATATAATGTATCTAAATAGATTGCACTGCATACCTTTGAAATATTGTTTGGTTACCTGTAGATAACAACAATTTTGATTCTTGTCTTGAGATTTTCCTACACCTCTTGTCAATCATATACAAAATTGAGCATACTTTTCAGAATATACTCCTAGCCTTTATAAAACGAAATATTTGTCTAAAAAATTACTGGTACTTCAAGAACTAAAATAATCAGATATTGACAGATTTTGTAGAAGCTAGGATATTCACAAAAACATTACGTCATGAAATCAAAGTTTGACAATTGACTTGAATTTGATGAACAGTAATAACAAGTGACAAATTTTGCCAAGGTCAAGTTGTGTTAATTTGAAGTGGACAGGAATAAAGAAATAACATGACTTTGATCACCTAAACAAAAAAAAATTAAATCGTCCAGTTTTAATATTTAAACCATCACTTAAGTACACCACACTCGACCTATTTTTAGAAACACATTTTTATATGTGTATACCTTGATCAACAACATCAGCTACGTGCATTCCTTTTATATTTGCCATGTATCCTAGAATACAAAATGCAATAAATCCCGCCAAAATACTCGTTCCACCGTTTATTAAAGGCACAAGTATGGCTTCTCTGAAAGATAAAATTTCATAAAGGTTGAAAATATGGTGTCTTTTAGTGCTTCTCTGAATAAATGTTACAATGGTGTTATTACATAATAATTTTAAACATGCAATCTGGCTACGTCCAATGTAAACAGATAACACAAAGACTAGCAGACAGTTCTGTTCATCTGTTGTCCATGTATAGAATAATAAATCAATCGAATGATGACCTCGGTGTTTGATAGTCCACAAGCAGCGGTACCGACCGAGTAGTAGTCAAACACGTGTGATTTTGTTTCATAGCTAGTGTTTCGGTCATGAAAATTATAAAAGATATGAATACAACTGAATAACAGTATTCAAATTTAACATATATCTATGTATGCGAATCAATATAATACGAATACACATATTTGAATTCCAGTTATCATCATTGTTAAAATTGAAGGAATGGATTCAGAAAAAGCGATATTATGTTAAATCACAACAAACGACAAGATTCCAAGAGCTCACATACTCTTTTAGGCAAGATGACGTTAAAAGTAATTTATATTGCTACATGTTTGTGCTTATGTGCTTTGTCTTCAGCGTGTCTACATGCCATTTTGTTTTTATAGTGATTAAGATTATAACACAATGTTGACTGTTGAACCCCAATTTTTTTTACATTTTTACCTAATACGTCTGTTAGTTTTGCTCACACATTGTTGTCAATATAATGGAATTTTATGCGACTCTCATACAAGTGAGAGGTTTAGCTAGCTATATAACCAGATTTAATCCACCATTTTCTAAATAAGAAAATACCTGTTCTAAGTCAGGAATATGTCAGTTATTTTCCATGTGTTTGATGTGTTTAAGCTTTTGATTTTGCCATTTTGTAAGGGACTTTCCGTTTTGAAATTTCCTTGGAGTTCAGAATTTTTGTTATTTTACTTTTTTTATATGAAATACATTCCGATATTTATTATTTCTTATTCCCGCTTCATGAAAAATGGCGCAAAAATATTTGGTATACAAAACATCTTCAGATACTATTTATAATCAATTCTTAGCCATTTGTAGCACCGTATATTCATTAATTTTAAAATAGCTTATACCTGAATTTTTATACAAAAACATTATAAAAGTGAATCATATATCAACTTTGTTCTGTATTAAAGGACTTTATGGTGACTTGAATGAAGCTGTGCAGTGTTTCGTTTGATACTCTTTTTGAAATGACTTTTCTTTGTACATATATTTCACTAGTATTTGCTATTGTCTCATTAACATTTATCGAAAATATGGCTATTTTTTTCAACATTTAACAATTGAAAAGAAAGATGTTTTTACCTGTATAAGTTGTGATGGAACCGATTAAAACTGGCAAATGTTATATAACCTCCCCATCCAACAGCAGTCGAAAAGAAAATCTGTAATGCAGCCTCACCCCATACCTAAAATGACAAACAGAAACACAGTATTCACGACAAAAGAATAGACTGTGAACACTGTATCTTAACTACCCCGGCGAAAAATGTTTGGACTCGATAGTATCTAATGTCCGGTACGGTGACGGACAATCAACAGACAGAGAAATGTAGAAATTCTGTTTATTTATATGTTGTTTTAATGATATTGAAGAATATACATACACATATAAATATTTTCGATAGTGTGATGTAATGTTTTCTACAACCGTTTAAGATTTATGGAGAAATAAGTAAAAAGGCACATCAAAATGGTGAATTGAGTGAACCCTGCCTCGAATTTGTTTAATTTCTCTTTAAATTGAGCACATTGTATGGAAAGAAAGGTACGGAAAGAAAGATATTAACACGGAGATGTCAAGACTTTTCACTATGATCGCCTCAATATTTGCATGTCTGTGCATGGAATGAAAGAAGTGGGTCATGTCAAAATTGAAGCACCCGGTTTTGTCAATGTGTACGACCCGGTTTTGTCCTTAAATTTCACAAAGCAGACCCGGTTTTGTCATAGAAAATAATGCATAATCACATGACGAAAATTAAAATATGGCGTTCAACAGCAGTTTGAGGGATCGTTGAAAAACATTTTCTTTCAGAGGATAACTTATAACCTTTTTGAATCCGTAAACACTTGAATTCCTGCTATATTAGAACAAAGCAAATTTCAATTTTGTTTTGTATATAAAAAAAAAGGAAAATTTAAAAAGAAATGAAGTTTTTGAAACGGAATTAGATTTTTTTATATCATCTATAAAAATTTAAGTGTTCAAACTTAATTAGTGTACGGCTTTGAAAATTTAAGGATGCACATTTGATATGGGATTTTCTGGGACAACAAGATGGTTATCTTAGTGTCCGCTCTACTTAAAGGGAAGACAGTATAATCGTTTGAAAATAAATATTCTGAAACTAAACGTTCATTATAAAGCAAGAGAATAAGACAAATGTATGTGCATGCAGAATCGCCCAAGAAAAGGAATTTCCATGCGGAGCAAAGGATCACAATAACAGTGCGTTAAAAAACTGTTTACCCCTCCTTGTTACAATAATACTAAGTATAAATTAGTATAAAAGTCTTAGGCCATCCGGAAATTGCAATAATGATTATTTGATTAGTAATTTTTATAAATAAACGATGTTTTATCTCTCTTTTTTTTTCTTTTTTTTTTTAACATTAACAAATTCTTTAATGCACTAGTATCAAGTTGTTAACAACTGCCCTATATAGTACAACTATTATATATAGGTTTATCTCTTCATTGTATAATGATCATCGTACATTGACAAATGTTCTACAATTTAATCAATTTGGTCAAGTTTAAAATTGTCAATATGCAAGGGCGGACCGAGGCCATGATTTTTTAAAGGGGCGTATTCATAAACGGATTTTATACCGCCGAGCGTAGCAAGGGGACTTTTTTTTAACGATTTTATGCTAAATAAAAAATCATATATAAATCGTAAAAAACATGATAAAATTATTATTTCTAGCCACCAAAAGTGGGGGAGGGGTCGGCGTTCTCCCTCTACTCCCCTGGATCCGCCACTGACATAATGTAACTATATCGTATACCATCATAAAGTTTAATAAAAGACGAAAAAACAGAAACAGCCGCCAATCGCATATTTACTATAGGGGCTCTGTAATCAAATGAGTTAAGCCTTTTTCAACTCACTGAATTTTATAGTTTGTTCATATGTTGTGCTGTTATACCAGTTTTTTTCTTGTTTTTTTTGGAGGGGGAGCGGGGGAGGGGGGCTTACACGTTCAACCCCGTCATTCTGTATGTGCCAGTATCGAATCTAGAAGCCTGTAAATCGTTTGTTGTCTTTTGTTGCTGTATATCATACATGTATTTGTTATTCGTTTTTTATTTTGTACATAAATCTAGGTCGTTAGTTTTCACATTAGTTTTTTTTTTACAATTTTCATTTCGGGGCCTTTTTTAGCTTTCTATGCCGTATGGGCGTTTCTCATTGTTGGATGCCATATGGTGTTCTATATTTGTTAACTTTTACGTCATTTGGTCTCTGATGGAAAGCTGTCTCATTGTCATTTTTCACGAGCTAAATTGCCAATTAGGTTGTTCTACGAAGACGAAGACGAAGATATTGGACGTTATAATGTTGCAAACCAACTTTTATTTATAAAAAGAAATAATTCTTTCATGCCATGCTCAATGCTCATTTTAACATAGGAAAGCATTATATTTGTTAAAATTTTTAAACCAAGCGTTAGCCAGGTATAAAATATTGACAAATATAATGCCTACCTATGTTAAAATGAGCGTTGCGCATGGCATGATGGAATTATTTTGTTTCTAATGGGGAAGTTTAGAACTTGTGTATTTCGAAGCGGACATAAAATACACGTTCGAAAGGCAACCATTTTGATTTGAGATATCGAAAACGTAGATATAAGAAGATGTGGTATGAGTGCCAATGAGACAACTCTCCATCCAAGTCACAATTTGTAAAAGTAAACCATTATAGGTCAAAGTACGGCCTTCAAAACGGAGCTTTTTCTCTCACTGTCCGTCAATGGATGAACGAATGAGTAAATATATTGTAAACATAGCGTATAGTGTAGTAAAGCATACTATCCTTACTCTTTTGATAAATTGATATGGTAACACAGTCATTCCACATCTTCTTATTTTTACATCATTACAGTAGTATAGAAAACAAACAAACATTTTTGAGATGTATTTCTATTTGTACCCATCTGATGACTTAAGCCTTTTTCAACTGATTTTTATAGTTCGTTCTTATGTTGTACTGTTACACCAATTTCCTAGGTTAGGGGGAGGGTTGGGATCCCGCTAAGATGTTTAACCCCGTCACATTCTGTATATATTTACCTGTCCAAAGCCAGGAGCCTGTATTTCAGTGGTTGTCGTTTGTTGCTGTGTTACATATTTGTTTTTCGTTCATTTTTTTTTGTACATAAACTAGGCCGTTAGTTTCCTCGTTTGAATTGTTTTACACTTGTAATTTCGGGGCCTTTTATAGCTGACTATGTTGTATGAGCTTTGTTCATTGTTGAAGGCCGTACGGCGACCTACAGTTGTTAATTTCTGTGTCATTTGATCTCTTGTGACGAGCTGTCTCATTAGCAATCACACCACATCTTCTTTTTTCTATCATAAGGAATTAATGTAAGTACATGATATAAAGTATTTATTTCCATTTAAACTTAGTTCGAAGATAAGATCAATAAGGTATACGTAAAGCATTCAATAATGTCTAATCCCTATTTCGAAAAGTTCCCGTTTGAAATATATTTTAACACATGTTTGTATTGCAATAACATCTGTATAACATCTGTTTGACTCAAATATTTAATTTCTTCCGATGGGCAATGTCCAGATCCGTGCTTAGCTTTTCATAAATTTGTGGTTTCAAAACAAAACAAACCCGGGTCCTATACTGAGACAAAACAGGGTCCTTGTGTAATAAACAACATTGACGAAACAGGGTCCTTCCATTTTGACATGACCCATTTCTTCCGTTTCATGCACAGAAATGCAAATATTGAGGTGCTCATAGTGACTAGCCATGCAATCTCTGTGTTAATATCTTTCTTTCCGTACTTTTCTTTCCGTACAATGTGCACAATTTAAAAAGAAATTAAACAAATTCGTAGCAAGGTTCACTCAATTCACCATTTTCATGTGCATTTTTACTTATTTCTCCATTAATCTAGAACGGTTGTAGAAAATATTACATCACACAATCGAAAATTGTTATGTGTGTATGTTTATTCTTCAATGTCATTAAAAAACAAATAAATAAATAGAATTTCTACCTTTTCTCTGTCTGTTGATTGTCCGTCACCGTACCGGACATTAGATACTATCGAGTCTAAACATTTTTTGCCGGGGTAGTTTAGACACAGTGGTGAAGAGACAGACAAAAACAGTCTAATTCAAATTATAATGCTAGGTGATATAGCTATATTAATGCATGATGAAATTTTTTTCACAAAATAATTTGTGGTACTCATATGAAAAACAAAATATTGTAAGTACAAACATCTCAATCAAAATTCATTCTGTCAGAATATTATTTGCCGCATCATGTATTAGTGTGTTGGGTAAGTCGACTTAAGGGGAACGACATTTTCTTCGGGAAAAGGGAGAGGAGTGGTAAGGCGGTATTGTAAGAACTCAAATAAATGGTACTATCATAGTCAGAAGGAAAATACATATTCTTCCTTACAAAAGACAATGATTCTGATCAAAATATTCGACTGCAAAAAAATCTTCTTGCCAGAAAATTAAATGTCTAAAACAACATAACACATATAGAATTTTAACTTACTTGTGAGGAAATCAATTTATGCCACTTTGGAATGAACATATACTTGATACCATCAATAGCTCCCGGGAGAGTCACTGCTCGTACCAGAAAAATGAGTAATACAACATAAGGAAACGTAACTGTTACATAAACTACCTGAAAAATTTTTTTTTAAATGTACTGATTTAATCAAAAGTGATGAAAAATAGCAATATCATGTTAAGTAATCGGAATATTAGTGTGCTATGTGTGTGAGAGCATTTTACACAGCATTCAGCTTGAACACTAGCAAAATAATGTTGAAAAAAAATTAAATTATTAAGAAACTAAAGTTCCATCTCCCTCAGCCAAAGTTGACCTGAGATGCATTTTACAATTCTTGTCGGTCCCTTTTGATCATATAACTCTTCGCATATTTAAGAACTTATACATTCTTGTCTTTCAATTTTTTGTGTTTGAACGTTCCTGATGAAAGTCAATCAGAAAAACTGTCTCGGTTGCCGAGTAGTCTAATTAGTCGAACTTCTGTATCACCAGCCTGTCAACACTGAGGTTGTGAGTTCGAATCCCGCACATGGCAGGTTTGCTCGACTCCAATCTTAATTGAATATGATTGTTGAAGGTATGTGCTTCTTTACAAGCATCCAAGCTTCCTCTATCAATAAAAACTGACCACCACAAAATAGCACAATAGTGCTGAAAGTGGCGTTAAAACACCAACGAACTAATCAATCCTAACATGCACAATGACTCATTAGTATATTTTCATTGACTCACAAGTAATTTTATTATGATATTTTGTTGAAATGGCACTATATAACCCTTTCCGATAAAGAATGAAGATCTTACACAATTTTATATATGCCTCACAATATCATAATCATGTTATTGTATGATTATGCATTTCCGGCATCATTCGAGAAAAAATAATTTAATAGAAGCAGACTTCGCTCTTCACCTTGATAAAAACTGTTGTAACTGTTGTGCACTTCATTTTAATTGTCCTTCTGGTAAAACCATTTTGCAGGATATCGTCTCATTTGCAATCATACCAATTCTCAAAATGTTTACATACTTCACAGCGCTTCTTTCTTTGCATAAGAAGATGGGATATGTATGATCAATCAAAATACAATGCAAGATACGTTTAAATGCATCACTAAATAAGTATTTGCATGAACATGCCTTCTTCAATAAACATGTGCATACAATAGGTAGGCACTCTCAAATTTGATTTATATTAAAATAACATTACTTATACGGATCGGACCAGTTATATTGGTGTTTCTAGAATTCATTTGTCGAAACAACTAAGCATTGGAAAACAAAATTCTAGTCTATATTATGAAATACAATTTCAAATACCCAAAGTGATTTCCTTAAGAATATATTAAAAGACATTTTTATTTTATAAACTAATTGTTGTGGGCCCAATTTAAACACTTTAAATAATGTAAAATTACACCTGTCGCAGTAAACGTTTAGTTAAAGATGTTATATCATTTTCATTTTTTTAATTCTTAACTACTTATTTATTTCATTTATTCACTCACTCACTCTACCTGGGTATTATAACATTTTCAAATCCGAAGATCGAAACTTTCAACGAATGACTGAACAACATATAAATTCAAAAAGGTGTGTAGTACATGCGTGAATTATCACTGCGACTATTTTGTCACGAGTTCACTAGTGTTCGATATATGATTTGGTGCATTAAATATTCTTTTCATTATTTTGAATTTTAATGTAAGTAAATGAGAACATGTAAGGATCTCTTGTTTGTGTAAGCGTTCATTCGTTTCAATGATGCAACGTCCCTGGAGAGGGCTTACATAGGCTATGGCTGTTGCACAAGCTAATTCAATTTATTTGAATAAAACACTGTTTAAACTAAACTAAACGTCCTTGACAACGTCTTGCGAACTCAAATATAGGATTATTTAACATGTGAAGTCATCTGATTTTTTTACTGGAAAACAAATGAAATAAATTGTGATCCCTAAAACAGCAGCTTAATGCTATTACAAATGATTTCTCCAAATTACGACTAACCTTGCCAGATGATTTGATACCTTTACATAAGCATAGAAAGACAATTATCCATGCAACAAACAAACATATTAATAGTTCTAGTCTTATCCCTCCAATATTTTCTATACCATCTGTAATCTGTAATACGTTGTGCCTGAAAAAGTATTGGAAGGGAATATAATTATTTCCTTTCATCTCAAACATACTAAATATTTTATATTTCAATTTGTGCTTATTTTAATGGTTAATTTAAACATATATATATTTGAAAAAAAGTTTAACTGTTCGTAAAACTTATCATTGCTCCCATTCGTTTAACTATATAATGAAGTAAAATTCATTGTCAATATGCTTGTGGAACAAAATAATTAGACATCTGAACTTTTTTCTTATTTCATTTTTGGCATTTTTTATGAAAAAGATGTAATGAAAATAAATTTATTAATATTGAAATCAGATTTTAATAAAACCAAGACCGCATTATTGTATAAAGGCGTTTCCTGTCGTCACAAGTATTTATTTTGACGCAGGCAAAATAGTTCTGTAACTGTTAATAAAATTCTTTTTTTTTTATCTTGACATAATTTTAGTGAATTTTTGTAAACTTTTGAAGGAAAAATTAATGTTATTATTACCACAATTACAACTAAAAAGCTATTGAGGTACACTGTGTACATCTCAACGAAAATTAAGAAAGTATCACTTTTAAAGACCTCATTCTTATTTTTTACTATAACTCTGCCATGCATTCACGAAGTAAAAATCATTGTCGGTTCTCGAACAATACATCGTGTTTGTTTTGCGTGCTCCGTATAGACTGGGATAAAATTCGTACTAATACATAGGAGCTGTTTCCTTTTAAAAACAATATCCTAAATTGGAAACAATGTCTGCAAGTGAAATACTGACTATAATTAAGCCAGCACCTACCTAGGTTTCAAATAGAATTCAATTGTAAGAGCGACCGAGACGATTTTTTTAAAAAGATATCTTTTAAATAAAAACGAAAAGATATATATAGTAAAAAGCGCTTTGGACGCATAAAATTTATAAATGATGTTTTCGTTATTAATGAACTTTTTTTAATAATTGAAGGAAATTTATTAATTTCACAGTTATTAACGAGTCTTTCAATACAACAACAATACATAAATTTGGTATCACTGTCGAAAACAATATATACAACTATTGCCATCTTCAAAAGTTCATAGCCAGATATATGAAATCGAGAAAGGTTTATTTGCACGAAGTCCACAAGACGGAGATACTCTTTTCAAGATTTAATAATTTTTATACAAATTATTCTTTTCAAGATTAAATAATTTTTACACAAATTATTATTTTTAACATTTGATAATGTAAATTATTAATTTATTATAAGGACAGTAATTTTATTAATAATTTATTATATTGAACTAGATGTATTACTTTTGTTGTATTTGTATATTTCATGTTTTCAAAGTATTTTGCTGTCGAATATTTTCCATTTCTAAATCAGAACTCCATTTCCACCAGACGACAACTAATTATTCTTTGGTCTGCAAAATATCGCTAACATTAAAAGAGTTATTTTTATTACGTGCACATTCCCAAACAGTTCTGGGTTTTTTTTCGCGGGAAAAGGGATTATTTTATTAAACATTTTATTAATTGTTAAAAGTCAAGTATTATTATAATCATTATATAATCTTACGTCCAAAATTCCTCACTGGCAGTTTTCTTGGTTTCGTTTGTAGTTACCGTGCCATTTTGAATACCAAATGGGCTAGTATATACAGGGCCATTTTGAATACCAGATGAGGTATTATATACATGCGTATCATGGCAATTGATTGTATTCCAGTCGTTGTTGCAATGACTCCACGGAAGCACAGACGTAAATGATTGGTAAAGAAAATACAGCACCCAGGAAATAATCACATTGACGTACGTACAGTATATAGCTGAAGCAATCAATACGCCGTATCCAATACCTAAAATTCAAATAGGTAAATTAAACAAAAGAAAACTTAAAATAAAAGACGAAGCATGTTAATTCAGTCAGTTCCGGGCCTTTAATAGCGGACTATGGGGTATGGGTTTTGCTCATTGTTGAAGGCCGTACGGTGACCTATAGGTGTTAACTTCTATATCATTTGGTCTCTGGTGGAGAGCTGTCACATTGGCAATCATACCACATCTTCTTATTTTTATATATAAGATGACGGAAAATGAACAACCTAAAAAGACTTTCACAGTTTTAGTTGAGTGATGATTTCGTATCATATGTTCGATAGCTATATATAGTTTACCTTAGTTACAGTTCTGCAGAAGCCTTATCTGATGTACTAGTATAAACTTTAATAAAACTTAGAAAAGAATAATATATTTTGCGGGTAGATCTTACGTCAAGTCAAATGACAAAGGGTGTTCCAAAGGAAACTATAATACGAGTAATAAGGCACTTTGGAAGAACACCCCTCCTTCAAGAATGGTACGGCTACCATTGTGGTATATAAGCAGGAGCGATTCCTTGCTCGTGGTCATTTGTCATAAGTCTATGTAGACATTGGACCAAGGTACGGTACGTTGATATTCGAGATCGTTGTCTCTTATATATTAGATAGTATTACATTAAATGTAATAAAGAACAGGTTGATGTCTGTTAGAAACAAGGACTTGTACAAGTTGGAGTTAGGACAAATATGTAATAGTACAAATGTGTACCAGTTGAATTTATTTGAAGTAGAATAGTTATAGATAGTTCATTATAGAACGCAAAGAGTAGTTGTACATATTTTAGTTCATCGATGATATTTTATAAATAGAACATTTTGGATCCAGTATCAAACTGGTAACGAACCTATTCTGAAATAGAAGTAGACACGCTTACCTGTGTACACGTTACATTTGTCATGTAGACCATACTAATTTGATATTTAAATTTAGATTCACGTGAACAAGGGAATAAGAGAACAGAAAAATACCAATAAAAACCCAAAAGCCTTGAAAATGTCATTTGTTCATGTTTGTTTTTATTAAACATCTATAATAGAGTTATTAAGGAAATAAAATTTAACATCGGCTAATAAGAGAGTACTAATTCGCCGTTGTATGTTATTTAAAAAAAAAGGTAAAATAAAAATAAAAATACCGAACTCCAAGGAAAATTCAAAACGGAAATTCCCTTATCAAATGGCAAAATCAAAAGCTCAAACACATCAAACGAATGAAAACAACTGTAATATTCCTGACTTGGTACAGGCATTTTCTTATGTAGAAAATGGTGCATTAAACCTGGTTTTATAGCTAGCTAAACCTCTCACTTGTATGACAGACGCATACAGTTCCATTGTATTGACAACAATGTGTGAACAAAACTATTTTCAGTTGAACGTCACAAATTTTTATTTTGTATACTTTCTATTTAGATTTGAAGTTTTAACCCTCAGAATTCAGGAGTACCAACTGATTACATGATTTTTTTTGTTAAAAATTATTCATTCTTTAAAAGTACCAAACTCATAGATTAGTAGCCAATCGTAATATATCACTAGCTGTAATACACTCGTACACAAAAGGAAGTCAAATCATATGTGGTTAAATTTAGGACAAAGTGTTTTTTTTTTTATTAAACTGTATACCTCCTATAGTTACAGTACATATAAATCATCAAATTAAAACAATTAATTATGAATATGCACAAAAGTCAAGATTGATTAGTAAAAATAATATGGATTATGGTGCATATATTTTTCCAAGACAGATTCTGTTGATCCATATTTACAGTAGTTATATGTACTAAAGTCAATATTAATTGTGTTGATCGTTCTGAGTAATCCTATTGCGTGGGGGTTATACCCCTAGATGATAGTGTTTACCTTTCAAAAGTGGCGATATCTTCCAGACCGTTAATACACTACTGCTGGAAAACTGGCCTAAAGCATATTCAATGAAGATTAACGGTATAACGCATATTAACAGGAAAATTACGTATGGTATCAGAAAAGCACCTGTAAAGAAAAAAAGCAATATTTATTCAAGTCCTAGGAATCCAAGATGTCTATTTTATACACACACACACACAGACAAAAACACATTAAAAGTATGGTATCTTTAATCAGTTTTTACATAAAAGAGCATGTAATTTTGAACTATGTTAATAATACTGGTTCCGTCCAACAACCAACTACAATAGTGTTGATGAGAATGGTCGTATTATAATCTCACTTAAGGAAGATGGGGCTCTAAATTAAAATTCAGAGAATTTTTTAATAATTTTCCAAAATGTAGTTTATATCATGCTTTTTTCAAAAATATAATAAAAAGTATGGGTCACCGGGCTTTTTTCCACGCTACAGGTTGTGCAAAATTGTCAGATTTTGTTTAGTTTATGCATGGAAACCCCAATTTTGTGTGATGAAAAGAAAACTAAATCATAGAATTTTAAGATAATATATGAGAAGTTAGCTGTAATAATATGATTTCAAATAAGAAACAGAAAAAATGGGGTCACCAGACTAGTTGTATTGCTATATATTGAAATAGGTAAATTCATAACACATTCTGTTATAAACGTTTCTTAATCTGAGTTATCTCCCTTTATGTCGCAAAGTTGAAAAAAAATAAATCAAACAAAAATTTCCTGCTTTTTGTAAAATACAGCCTTAAAAAATACGATAAAACACTAAATGTTCTATTTTAACATGAAAAGTCTTACACATGAATTACATACTACTCTCGAAATTTGCACTTTTCATTAAAGATCTAGACCGATTGTTATCTGCTATTTCAAAATCCAAGCTGGAGGAAGACACCCCAGCTACCTTAACAACTGTGAATTAGGGGCATACACCTTTTTTTTTACTTTAGTTTTCATTTTTTTCTGTTCGGAGGCATCACTGAATAGAATTATAAACTAAGCATCCTACAGTTACAGTACATAATAATCGAGAGCTGTCCCAAAAAAATTAAACAATTTATTATAACCTTTGAACATCGGTAAACTAAACTCTCTTTTAAAAATTATTTTTTTGATGGTTTCGGCTATTCCTTTAAGGTCTCGTTTTGCCAAATGATATGGACATGTACATTTTTTTTGTACTTGGTATATTGAAAATTCAAATGTGTTTAAGAAGTTCCCAAAATAAAGACTTTCAAAAGGTGGCTTAAAATAACAATCAATATAATAATGACCTTAAATCCTACCTCATATCAGCAAGCTAACTTTAAACGTATAAAAGTAAGTTATTAAGTGAACATCGGAAGTTTGAATATGCCTTCATTGTACTATCTTTCAATCAAGTGATTTTTGTACAAGTTAATTTATTTGTTTTCATTTCGCAGAAAATTCCGATAAAAAGGAATTGTGGTATGTTTGCCAATAAGAGACAAAGGACGTTAATTAAACCAAATATACATATATGCCTTTCGCCGTACGAGCTAAATTTGGAGGAAACATTTACGATTGAAGGATCACAAACGTTAAGTCATTGCCTTTGCTCAAACAGACTGTTTCGCTAGACATGTATTTGAAATTGAAATATTTTCGTTGTGATGGGGGTAAATGTCACAAAAGATCTCTGCAGATCTGGGCTATTCCTTCTGATTGTCTTTTTCATTGGATAATATATTAAATATCATGGTATTGAAAAGTGGAAACAAGATGAAAACTGGCCTATATCGTTGTTAAAATGTTTGGTTACATTTACTAAGTTAAAAGAAGTTTTCAAATTTATCTGGGTCAGAGTATCTGTGTTTAATAGAGCTTGGTGAATCAGTTCAAATGGTATCGAATAATGATTTAGCAAATTAGAGGTTTTGGTTATTACAATATATTTCAAGCGAATACAGAGTCATAGGATATTTAAATTACAAGGACAGTATAAAGAGTATACCATTTAAATCATGATCAAAATGGCGCTGCGTTTTAGAAATCAAACAATGCCTTATCCAATAAGAGACTCCGATTAAATATTTTTATAAGTGGCTATCTTGTTGTCATTCCCTCAAAGTCTAAATCTCGTTGACAAATGTTAGAAAATAAGATTAAATGAAGGGTGAGTTTACTTACGAACCAGTTTTAAAAACGACGTAACCTATGTGATGGCTCACACATTCTTTATTTGAGCTAGCTGGTAAAGAATGGGATGTTTTGAAACCAAGTATTCAATATATGCGTGCCTTGACTTTAATATGTGTAGTTTTGTTCTGTCAAAGTGAACTGGGACAATAGTAAAGATAAAACGATTTATACTGCCTACAACTAAACAACAATAATGCAAAGAATATTTCAAACCTCCACCATTTTTATAGCATAAATAAGGAAATCTCCAAATATTGGTGATGCTGACGGCATATCCTACACAGGACAATAAAAAATCCAAATTTCCACTCCATTTATCCCGACCGTCTTCTTCATGTTGGCTTTCTGTCTGGGTTTCTGTCTGGTTTTCTGTCTGTGATCTTCCATTCTTTTCCTAATTGAATACACATTATAAATTTTAAAAGGTGTATTGATCAAACATTTGTAAATGAATAACTGAGGTCATGACCCTTTTGCCATATGCTCTTCACGAAAGCCCCTTAAGATTTCAAAACAGCCGAACCTCGTTATGCCGAATTGAGTTGTGGCGAAATCTCGGATAAATCGAGGTATCATGTCAGTCCCCGAAAAGTTCGCGTTTGACCAATACAGTTTTAACTCGGATAAATGAACGTGATTGATTCGATATCTCGTTTTACATGAGTATATGTCGACGTTTCCCAGAGGAAAATGAAAATAAATTAACCCCGATATGAAAAATATGTGGAAGGAAAAGAATTTTTTTAAGTTTGAAGTACTGATTCAAATATTCTTATCGTATGTTTTTAAAGTGCATAAATATCAGTTTCCTAAATTATTACAAGGTCAATCAAATTGTTAGTACAACAATCAGAATGACTGTGTACAGATATTGTTTCTAACAACTTTGATGATTGACCATACCTGAACGTTATGTTTGTGGAACACAATATATACTTAACCCAGGTTGAAAGCATCTTCATATAAATACTGAGTACATGAGTTATTTCATTACGAACTATATCCTAATGTTAAGACTATCCTAAGAACATCCTAAGACACCTAGATAACTAAAAGTGTCCTAAACTTAGGACAGTTCCTATGACTTTTCCGAAGTTACGACATGTTTGATAAAACCACTTAGGAAACAGATATGCCCTTAGATTATCTTAAGACATGTCCTAGTCCTAAGAGCGCTTCGATATACAGGTTCCTGATCCCTTAAGCAAAGCGGACATTAAATATATTTGCTTTTCATACCCTTTTAGGTCAAATAGCTTACCACGTTCCCAGCACTTGTACATTTTGGCTTTTTTAAATTTAGACTTTGAACCTTCCCGATTAAGGTTAATCCAGGAAAGCAATTCAGACGCACCAAATCAATAAAATATCATTTTCGTTCATCGGTTTTTGATGAGTTCGATTATTCAAATTCTGGTTTCTCGATCGATTGATCGATCGATCGATCGATCGTATGAACAAAAAAAAAACATTACACTGCTTTACATTGCTTATTTAAACTGATAAAGAAATACTTCTTGACTAAATGTATTACAGTAACGATCAGTAATGCATTGTACACAGGTGAAACTTGAGTTTATCTAGCCAATATATTTTATAACCTCTGTAACCTCAACATGAAAGATGTTTTCGTGAACGTCATATAAATTTACTTGTGTAAAAGTAAGACTGTTACTTACTATGTGGTAAGGTTAAATATAAAGGATCACGTGACATTACTGTGGATTCATTCATTTACGTAGTATCCGACGAAGCCTCGTTATGGACATATGCAAATTAATAATTTGTTCGATCAATATAAAAATATTGTGCGCACAAATTATTATTTTGTGCGCTCAAATTCATATAGATTTCACATGTGGTAGATCTGTCTAATTTCTCTTGTTCAGAGCGATACGTCAGTCGTAATAGAGAATTGTATGAGGTTTTATTTTGATATGGGGGTTAGTAACAGCGAAATACTCACACTTCTTGCATGATATCATCACAATATAGTTTTATCAACATACTTAAACGAATACTCAGGAAAATATGTGTGTTTGTCGAAAACATATAAAATGTATGTGTAACATAGGAACAGCCAATAAGAATACTGTCTTGTGGATTTTAAAGGTTATAAGTATTGTATTTGAATAAAACTTTTTCAATTATATTTTATTTTATTAGATTACCTTTTGGCTATCTGTTCTTCGGTATAGTTTTTCATCTTACTTTTTAAATGACAAAGTCATAGCCACTCAATACTCCCCCTCCAATCATATATTATTTTCAACGCCTATGAATACATGTACATAAATGTGTCGGGAACAGTAATATATTTCAATTTCCATAAGAATGCAAATGTATTTAAGAGGATCAGTCTTATCATTTCTAGACAGAAGATGCAGAAGATCTATATTAGGGACAGTCATTTGATATAAAACGATTAACTTGAATATATGTGCCGTACAATTAGATGTCCAAATCCTCAAAATATCCATATACAAGTAAACAGAAAAGAACAGAAATTATATACATCCTAGAAGTCAAAAGAAGTCATGAGATAGGTTTGCAAACAGATAAAATGAATAAAAATTGTCCCTTTAAATGCAATCTTAAACGTTGAATTTCAGCAGTTAACAATTTTAACGAATGAATCCAATCTTCTAAGTAACACGCATCAACAGCTAAATGATACCATGTGTGTTGTCTTTTTGGTTTATTAGTATGTTTTTCTACATGTTATAATAACATATGTATATTCCTGTACAGGCAAAATGCAAATGAACAAATAGAATTGAGAATGGGATTGTACAATACAATACATTATTTTATTAACGTCTCACCTTTTACAAACCAATACACAACACAGTGATTAAAACAAATTACAAATATGTAAAAGCCATTCATATAGAATAATGAGAGACGAGTATTAACACATTAGAAACAAATTACTCAAAACTTAAAACCATAAAAAGTAAACACAAAATTATCTACATGTATATAACAATTTACGACGTCTATCTAAAATGTCTCTGCAGGTTTTGGCACACAAACGGATATTGCTCAGTCTATCTAGAATCACATATAGCTTACCTTGAATAGAAAAAAGTTGCAAAGAGACAACAACCCGACCAAAGAGCAGAAAATATAGCACTGCAACATATATGAAGGCATTCTACCAAAATCCAGCTATTGATCCGGCAAGTTGTGATTATGTCAATATAATTATGCAATGCCCATCACCCATACGGTAGTATCAAAATACTACCGGATTCTTGATTGGAAAAATATAAATTTTTCGTAATCTCTTTGTATTATCAAAATTCCTGCACGTGTGTGTACAACTGGTCGTCACAATCTCAACAGTATTCAGGTCGTTTTCTTTCAACATTCACCTTCTTTACACTGACAACCTTAACAAAATGTAACATAGTGCAGCATACTTTTTTCTGTATAGGACCCGATCGGGGGCTCCGTAGAATCCTGCATTATTATATAGGCCATACTATAAGCCACGGGTGCGTGGGTACAAGATTTTGATAATTATTTTTCATTATTTGCACTGAATATTCAATTTTCCATTTTTTACCACATACTGAACACCACTAAGCATGCCTTACCTTGTTTTAGATAAATTTATCCACTCTGAAAATATCCCTTACTTTACTATCCATACTTTAAAACAACATTGTAAGTAGTGAGAAAACAAATATGAGTGGCTTAATATTTTACTTACATACATAGTTATTAACAAATACAAGTACAAGTCATTAATCCAGCTCTGGAAAATAACAAAATAACTAACAAACAAAAATTCCTATCTATCCACTAGATAGGTTGATAAGGTGTCAAATTAATGTCAAATAAAATGTATAACAAACATCGCATCAATGTTCAACTATTCTAGATTTAATGGTTGACAAATATGTAGTTATTTTGATTTATGATTTCGTGGGCATTGTATGTATTAGTATAAGATATTATTATACCGTTGAAAACTTAAACGGATGGGCATTAAAGAAATTTATCATATATTTAGTACAAAATACAGCTATTTTGTATATCTAATAAAGGTTCTTTTTTCCAGTCTGTATCACCTACCCTGTATCGCATACCCCGTATCGCATAGCTAAACCCGTATCGCATACCCCGTATCGCATAGCTAAATCCGTATCGCATACCTGGCGTGACGTCATAAATCAAATGACGTCAACGTTTGACCTATGACGTCCAGTTGCTGTATTTCCTGGCATAGGAAAAAAGTGAGTTCCCACTCAAAAAATGTCATATCATTTCAACTAAAATCGATATTTTCAAAAAAAATATTACCCAGTAACTTTATAAGCGATTTTTATAAAATAGATACAATAAGTTTTTTAGTGGGAACTCACTGTTGTCCAATGACTGTGTATATAGGAATCCCCTGTTTGTCTGTTAATAATCTTTGAAAAGATGATACTTGGTAACATTGTTGTCCATATTTATGTATACAAATGAGTTCAGATTGTTGTATAATGATTAAACTTAACAACAAATATTGGGAAGGTGGGATGTATTCTACAGTTGACACTATTGTTAGTGAATGCTTTTAAATACATGGTCTTAAATTATATTTTATGCCAGTTTCATAGCTCTATATTGAGGGTTGTAGGTTGTAGGGGACATTACGATGTGGATATTAAGCAAATAAGGAAGTCTATAATTAAATTCTTCTGTTTGTTATATTTTCGGACGATTTAAAAAAAAAAGTATATCACATTAATCTGATTCTATTTAAATATATGATACACAGAATAATACATGACAAAATCCGTATCGCATGCTGTATCACAACTCGACCAATATCAGCACTCGGGACATTCGGCACTCGGGACTGATATTGGTTTCTTGTGGTGATACAGCATGCGATACGGATTTTGCCATGTATTATTCTGTATGTATTAAATCTACAGTCAGTTGTAAACAAAACTTAATTGCTGAAATACTCCGTAACACTTTCAAAGAGCATAATTATGTAAAAAATACTTGTAATACAGAATATTATATAGTTAGCATTTTAAAATTTTTCATGAATTATTGATTGCTTTTATCGAAACGTCCATTAACTTTGAATTTATGTTTAATAAATAATTCATACAAGCCATTATATATTTGTTAGAAATTTACACATGGCCTAGGCTGTTTTATTCGAATTTTACCCGATCGTTAGATTGTTAAGATTCTTGATTAAAATGGGTAGTCACAGTGTTCAGTAGGGAATCTAATGTTTTGTTCTATGTCACATGGGATATATCTAGCTCTCAATATTTATAGAGTTGTGAACCCGAACCGACTCTTTTATACAAAACAAGCATTGATACATCTATTATACAAATAGAAATTGAAAAAGAAACTACAGAACCGTTATTCCTA